AGTATGCGTCCCCGCCCCGGCTTTCCTCTCAAGGACGGCCAGAAATGTCTCCCGCCTCTCTATCTCGACCCGGATGCCCGTATCAAGATATGTGGGCCCATTAACACCTATCTCCGACCGTACCAGCGCGACGGCGCAAAGTTCATGTACGAGTGCTACAAGAACAACAAGGGCGGTGTGCTCGGCGATGATATGGGTCTTGGAAAGACTATCCAGGTCACGTCCTTTTTGTCCGCGATTATGAAGAAGGAAGGCACCATAGCGGATGTCGACAGGCGAAAGAATCGCGTGAGCAGGCTGCAGGACGGAGAGGCGTGGAGAAAGAAAAGGGAGCTCCCGCCTGCAAATGCAATGTTTCCGACTGCGCTGATCATTGCACCACCGAGTGTCGTTCCGAACTGGGAGCGTGAGTTACAGACAGTGAGTGCCTTTGCTTTCATTTTGTCGGCGTCGTGCTGACTGGTTGGTTGTAGTGGGGATACTTCGAGGTTGGTGTGCATTCGGGGACAAAGGAGAATCGCAAGCAAGTCATCAAGGACTTCAAGATGGGCCGACTCGATGTTGGTACGGATGATGCGGTCTTTCCTTATTACCCCAAGCTTACCCAGGAATAGTCATCAGCTCTTTCGATGTTGTCCGTCGCGATATCGAGGATCTTGACACTCTTCCCTGGAGTTGCATTATTGTCGACGAGGCACACAAACTCAAGAACATCGCTTCGAAGACAACCCAGGCCTTCCATCAGTTCACTTGCAAATTGCGATTTGGCCTGACGGGTACGGCGATTCAGAATTCATACGAGGAGTTGTACACTATCTTGGACTGGGCTAACCCTGGGATGTTGGGGACGCCGAAGCAGTGGAAGAAGTTTATCCAGACGCCATTGACTGCTGGTCAGTCCGCGAAGGCCACCGACGAAGAGAGAACCCAGTTCAACGTATGCTTGTTCATTAGCCCATGATGTTTGGTGCACTGACAGTCGCGGTAGATTGTGTCCGAAACTTTGACGAAGAGGATTTTGCCTGACTTCTTTCTGCGAAGGTGTGCCTTGGCCATTCACCTCGTCGACACAATTTGACATGTGCGGGCAGGACGAAGGACATCATCAAGGACCAGCTTCCGCAGAAGATTGACCAGGTCGTCTTCTGTCCACTTGCACGGGTACAGCTGAATGCGTACAAACGTATTGTCGAAGGCGATGTTGTGCAGAACCTTCTCCGAAAGGATGAGCAGTGTGATTGCAACTCTGGCCTCTTGTAGGTAAACTTGGCAGAGAATAAGGTTCAGGATACTGACGGCAGGTGCAGGCGCAAGAAATGTTGTTACCCATACGAACCCGCCGAAGTGCTACGCCATATTTCGATACTGCTTAAGTTGTCGAATCACCTTGCGCTGATTCTGCCTTGTACGTCTTCCATTCGACTCTGAGTTCTGCCTTATAACTCTTGACGCGTAGCACGATACGATACACCTGAGCAACTCAAACGCAATCGCGAGCTCGCCGACCTCGTGTTCCCGCGGGGCGCCCCCATGTTTGCTGAGGCAGTCACAATGTCTCGTTATTGCGGCAAATGGGATACCCTGGACATGCTGCTCCAGGAGTGGCGGACGGACCGGACAAACAAGGTCCTCATCTTTACCAAGAGCGTAAAGCTGATTGAGATGTTAGAGTTTCTGCTCAGAGAGCGAGGTGAGTTTCCCCCCCTTGGAAGCCTACATGCACGAATACTAAAGGTTATGTAGACTACAACTTCCTCACGCTAGATGGGAGTGTCAAGCAGAACGACCGTATGCCTCTCATCGACCAGTTCCAGAATGACCCGAACGTCTTCATCTTCCTCATCTCGACGTTGGCAGGAGGAACCGGTCTCAATTTGACGAGTGCTAACCGAGTTGTCATTTTTGACCCAAACTGGAGTGCGTTGCTAACCAGTTCATTTGTTTCCCTTGTACTGATAGTCAATTCCTCAGACCCTGCACACGACTTACAGGCTATGGATCGCGCGTTTCGGTTTGGACAGACGCGCGATGTGCTTGTTTTCCGTCTTCTAGGTGCTGGCAGTCTCGAAGAGATCATCTACGCGCGCCAACTGTACAAGCAGCAGCAGATGGCCATTGGATACGATGCTAGCATCCAGACGCGCTACTTCGAGGGTGTTCAAGGGAACAAGTCCAAGCAAGGCGAGCTCTTTGGGCTGAAAAACTTGTTCTCGCTCAATGAGGGTAACCTCGCGACCAAGATGGCGGTATGTTCTCAATGTTGTGTGTCGGCGGAATACTGATGGAACTGGCAGATTGAGAAGGCCAACATGGCACATGTGGATTGGGCGCTGGAGAACATGCCCAGACCGAGCCAGCTGAGCAAGGACAGGGCGAAGCTCATTGCGGCGGACAGTGCCAACAAGGACGATGATCTACATGGGCTGGGTGCCTTGCTTTTCGACGACGCATTACCTACCGTGCCAGCCAAAGCCAAGGCTGAGGAGGAAATCCTGAAGAAGAACGGGATTCGCTATACTCATCGGAACGATGAGATCCTGGCGCCGAATGCGATTGCGATTCAGCGAGAGAAGGAAGTGGCACGGGTGAGTATTTTCGCTCCTCGATTTGGTTGCGGGTTAATGATGGCCTTCCTTGCAGAGAGCGCGCCATTCTACTGCAGTACCCAAGGGCACGGGGGTCGGGAGGGTGAAGAAGCCCCTGGGAAAGCCGACAGCGCCATGGCCTCCTCCTCGGAGAGGTCGTGCCAAGTCAACGCCCGACAATAGGTGCATATAATCTACCTTCATTCTGTTTACATCAGAGGCTGACAGGCAGGTTAGGTTAGCGTCTCGTCGCCAACGCATTGCGGAAATGGGGCTTGACGACGACGGGCAGTTTGCGGCTGCGTTGTGAGTGCGTTTGCGTGAATATTTGACTGGGTTACTGACGTTGCGGTCAGTGCTCGCGAAACACCAGAGAATCAGGTATTGATTCTAGCGAAGATTGACGAGTGGGTATCTCTGAATGAGGTTGAGTGCTCGAATTAGGATATGCAATATATTGGATCTGTTGTGTAATATTATATGTATTTAGTGTGTGGGTATCTGCCTTGTGTTGTTAACATTACTGCTAGTCGATTATGACTTTAATTTTCACAATATAATGACTGGTGACTGGATGACTATGTGTGGAAGGATGCGCGATCGTCAGGCGCGCCATAACAAGGTTCCAAGATTATTCTTCTTCTTCCAAATTGAATATAGTAGCTGTTGTACAAGTAACAAGTATACAAACATATTCGCTCAGGCATACCGAAATATCACTGCCATATCTATGCCTCGTCCGCGGCATCCTTCCAGATGCGAATTGTCAAGTCGTCGTCTATAGATCCTGTAGCGAGCATGTTCTGCGTAGGATGTGTCTGCGAGCGAGTTAGCATGAATTCATCGCCAGTACAGTGTAACGTACCGCCACTGCGACAACAGTGTCTACAACGCCCCCCTTTCAGTTGTGGGGATGCAGATTTATAAATGCACGCACCTGTATGCCCTTCCAACACCTGTACGATCTCACGGCTTTGCAAATCCCAGATGTACACCTTCTTATCCTCGCTACCAGATACAATCCACTTTCCGCCCGTCACGCTAAAGCACGCAGCGATGCAGTACTGTGAGTTCTTATGCCCAACGTACGTTTTCAAACAGCGCGTCGTTTGGTAGTCCCACAACCGAATCGAGTTGTCGTGCGCCGTTGACAAGATGTACTTGGAATTCGGCGAAAACTGGACGTGCTGGCTGGAGATTGTTTGTTCTGAATCTGTCGCAAGGCGGAAAATCGAGACTCACCATATTGCCTTTGTGCCTTCCGCAAGCGTTTTGAGACATTGTCCATCGCTAGAATTCCATATACGGCTTGGTGCAATATGTGTTAAGGGGAAACGCTGGCTTGTAAGCAACGTACATGAGGCCATCGAGTGCACACGATACGATAAGCGTTGCATCCCGATTGAAGTGCACTGCAGTCACATAATCCAAATGCCCATGTAACGTCTTCATACATTTTCCTGCGAGGATTGTCTCAGTAAATTTTTGGGAGGCTCGTTGATGATGGCAGATGTTTTGATTACCTTTCGACGTATTCCAGATACGCACATCACCGTCGCATCCGCCTGACACGAGCAAGTTTGACGCAAGATTGTAGTTCAAACAGAACACCCATTTTGTGTGGCCTCTGAGAACCTTGCTTATCTCTCCCTGTTCGTAACAGTGTGCTGAGTCATTGAGAAAAGAATGGGATGAAAAAAACCAACAGTGTCCACATTCCAGATTCGAACAGTCGTATCGTCAGAGGCAGAGGCGACATAGACACTATCGCTCGACCAAGCAACATCCGAGATACCCTCGGTATGTCCCTTCAGCTCTCGCACGAGCTCTCCTGTGAAAGGAGACCATATCTTTACGCTCAGCGCGGCCGCTGAAAAATACTCGTTCACAACACGAAGACGCAAAAAAGGGAAAGAAAACACATACACACAGACGCAAGCATGAGACCGTCTGGGCTGAACTTCACAGCGGATATTGACTTCGAGTGCGCTTGGATTGTGCGGCGGAGCTCGTACCGCGGCTTGGGACGCCCCGAAGCTGTGGTGGGCACTGGTGGAGGCGGAGGCGGGGGTGCTGCCTGCTGAGACGGCACATGAGGATCGTCCTCAGTAGTTTGCGACGCATTGTCATCGTCTGTGGATGAGTCCTCAGAGGCACTGTGGGGTTCTCGGTTCATGGTGATGGTTATAGTCCAAAAAGGAAGGCGTGAGAAATTTGATCTGTTGTGAAGAAACAGCTTGAATCAAACAATGGGCAGCTCGATTTTCGATCCTGATAGCAGGTTGCGTTGCTCTTCTTTCTATAATATCAGGAATATAGTCTTGTTTATATCACGTTCATCTCACAAACCAACAGATTTACATGTGCATTCAACTTCAAAAACTTCTGTGTAATGGTATTGAATAGCATGTTCATGGCTTTGTAGTGTAGTGGTTATCACCCGGGATTCTGATAGGATCATTCCCGTGACCCAGGTTCGATCCCTGGCAAGGCCTATATGTAGTAGTCCAGGAGGATTTTCTGGTTTTGTTTTTTGGGGTGTACGTGTGGGGTCCACTACAATTGCAAGTATACAAATTCCGTCATGTATTTGCTGCTTGCTGAACACGACAGACACATCCCCCTGCCTGATTCACGCAATATTCTAGTGAATCATACAGCCACGCCTAGTACATGCGCATCCCGGCTGAACCATAGCATTGAAGGAATAAAAATGAGTGTAGAAGGCGCTTTATGTCAAGGGGCAATGGATACGATAGAAGTAAGGTAACAGTTGTTGTTGCACGATGAAGGGAGCAAAGCGAAAACACGAGGATGGAAGTGGTAGGGAAGAGGGAGGGGGGATTATGATGGCGCTCAGCGAGTTATCCACGAAGTACGAGGGTATGAAGAGCATTGAAGTGAAAAGGATATTGGTTTCTTCTAGAGTCCCTGGTCCGCCATATGTCCGTATATATACCTATTTGAGGTGCACAGAAGATGGCTAGTTCTGGATGCGGTTAGGTGATAGGGCAGAGGGCGCTGGAAGGCGCGCACCTTGGGTCTCCCCCTCGTCCGTCCGTCCGCCGTCCGTGCAGTCACAACCGCAGATTATAATCATACATCAACATATATTAACACTGGTTCGCCCACGCCCTCGATTTCCGGGATAACACATTTGAGGTCGAACGCCTTTGCGAGAACGATCTTGAAGATCTTTTGCACATTTATGGAGGCGGACGTGGAGCAAAAGATGAGCGAGGCATGCATTGCTTTAGCAAAGCGCTTGGCCTGCTTGGTGATTTCTTCTTGCTCGTCGCGGGGGAATGTAGAAAATTGGTCGAATTTGGTGCCGATGAGGAAGGGTATTGCTGTCTGTGAAGGGTTAGGAGATGCAAGCGAAAACTTCGATGGTGACGCACCTTGTTGAATCCCCGCGCTTGCCTGTACCACTCCTTGACTGAGTTGAGTGTGCTTTTGCGAGAGAGGTCGAACATGAAGAGAATGGCAACGGCATCGTTGCATACTAACGGGAGCATGTTCACAAACTCCCGCTGGCCGCCGAGATCCCATATTGAAAACGTTATCGTCGTCCGGCGCACCGAGATCGTCTTTTCCATGAAGTTGACGCCTTGTGCGACGGTTATCAGTCGGGCGGGACTATTTGATTGCGATTGGTAGTAGGGCCACGCACCCAGCGTCTGGATATAGTCTTCGTCGAAGCTGCCCTCGACGTATTTGACCATCAGACTCGTCTTGCCAATCTGCGAGTCGCCAACCATCCCGACCTTGATGACGACGCTACATTCTGTAAGCGCCCGGAGGTCGGCACGCTCGCAAGCAGGCCACGCACCTGTTCCGTTCGTCGTTACTATCCAAGTTCGGGTGTCCTCCATTCGGACCAGTTCCCGACGCTATACCGCTCGACGATGAGGATGCCTGGTTTGACATTTGATGGGCTCGGGCTCAGATGGTGGTATTGGTGACAACGGCGTTAAAGGGGATCCGGCGGGCAGAGTACAACCAGACGCAGGTCAGGCGGGGAAAAGAGTGAGAAAGCAAGAGAAACGAAAGAGCAGAGAGGGACGCGTCGCAGGGGTCGTGGGTCAACGTCTCTCCGTCGCCGTCGACAACAGCGAACAAACAGTGATGGAAGCGGAGAGCAGTGCCAAATTCGATCGCCGATAATTCACACGGTCCCCCGAGTTCAGCTGGTGGCCCAAGCTCAAGAAACTAAGTTTTCGTAGTGGAAGAAAGCCGTTATAATGGACAATAAATTAGATTAGGGCCTGGATAGTCCACGCGACAAATATCTACGAAGCATGGAGAACTCAAAAGCCTTTCGGAATCACCCGATCGTCTTCGAGCCCTTCAATGCAACGGAAATTACTTTTTATTCTTCGAAATCACATAGACGTTTTTTTTGTCTCTCGAAGACGCGTACATCGGTGTGGCGCATTCCGCCACACAAGTCTTGGCAAAGCAAATGACAAACGGAAGTATTTCAATCCAAAAATGAGGTTGGTTGTCTGTCTGCTGCGATGGCATGCACCATATACTCGCGAATAAGCAGTAAACCTTCCGATGCGTTGTATAGCTCGCCTCAAAATTGGCATTTGGCATATGTATAATGTACGCCTCAAATTCACAATTCCATCGCGTGATCGGCATGCTTCGCCTTCTACCACGGTCATTGGCGCGTCCGACGCCGACGCGACTCTTCTCCACCTCTCAGACACTGCTAGCAGGCCACAACAAAGTCGGGCAAACGCCTCCCCAGAAGTCGTTCATTCTCACCTGCCCTACAGTGGTCCAAAATCCAAGGCAAGAAAGGCATCGCTGACCGGAACCGCGGTGTTGCATTGACCAAGGCCCGACGCGTGCGTTCCTCGAGTCTTTTCTGTTCCTAATACCTTAAAATCTGCAGGACATTGTTATTGCTGTCCGAAGTACATCCACGCCTGTCCTCAAGCTCAAGTAAAGCTCATGGCAGCGCGCACCTAGGCGGGGGCAACTCCATCGACCCAGAGAAGAATCCCGCACTCGCGGTCGTGCTTCGACGTTTGAAGGACTCGGATATCCCCAAAGACAACATTGAACGTGCATTAGCCGGGGTACGCACGCTTGTACGACGACAGGAATCACCATGAATGCTTGCCCAGGCCTTGAAGAGCGACGAGAAAGCGGGAGACACAGTGCTTTACGAGGCCATGGCTTGTGGGACTGTTGGCGTTCTCATGTCCGTCTGTCCATCTTCCAATTCAAACCTCGGTGGCTGATGACTTTCTAGCGAGTGCTTGACGAACAACCCAACGAGAACTATACAAGATATTCGCACCATATTGTCCCGCAACAAGTGCGTTCACATCATCCCTGCTATAAGCAAAGTTCTGAATCATTTAGTGCACGCATTGCGCCGGTCAAGTTCATGTTCCAACAGACTGGCGTGGTCAGAGTCGCGCTAGAGGACCCCACTCAGCAGGAGGCATTGGCAGAAAAAGCGTTCGACGGAGGTGCGCTGGACTTTCAAGAGTCGACCGAAGATGATGGGAAGGTAGAGGTTGAGGTCAGTTCTTCATCCTTCTAGTCTCATCGCGTCCTTGTGCAACATGATGCTGAGACTAACCATTGCCCTCACAGTTCATATGCGAACCCGCCTCAGTGTCCGCCCTCACCCAAGTTATCATGTCTTCCGGGCACCCGTGCGAACTTGTGAAAAGTGAAATTGTATACCGGCCACAAGACCCTGTAGAGTCTGTCGACGAGGAGGTTGAAGGCAACATGGGACAGCTGATGGCCGTGCTGGAAGATAATGAAGATGTGTCGAGGGTTTTCACGACGCTAGACGACTAAGTGATTGACACCCAGCATACCATTTCTGACCGACGCTTCACTATCGTTGACCTCTGCCACCAGGAATCAAGAAGTTGAATATTTCGACGCGCCTACGTACAGTGCTGAGCTACATTACACTCAATATATGGCGGGGCGCAAAACGTACGCCTGCTAAAGCTCATGAACTGGGAATTGTTTGTCGCCAGCCATTCCCGTATTCCTTCCTTTGCTCTGAAATACAGGAAACTCGCTGATTCTCAGCTTCGTCGTCTGCAAGTGAATGTCAGCAACTAAGGCCAGCGGACCTGTTTGAAATTACACGCACCCCATAGGGACTGAGCACGATCTCTCTCTCCTCTCCAACGCAAGCTGGTGACTCGGGCGGGTGTGCCGCAAAGGTGTCCCCACCAAGTGGCCACTCAATTAGACATGCTCGGACCGTCATCCACACTGGGGCAAGCCCATAATCCCAGATGGGTGCAGGCAACTCTGTCTCCTCATCCATATAGAAGCGCAATGTCGTTGGGTCAATGGCGTACTCCCAGTCAGCGACGGCGTCGTATTGTAGGTCAACTGCGCGTGCTTCCCGGGGGTCTGACTTGAGGATTGTCTCGGTGCGTTCGACTGTTAGTATGTGAGCACATTAGAATGCAGGAGTGTTATGAAGAACGTACTGTCAAAGGCATAATTCAAGGGCCCGCGATGTACTGCAACACTCTTATGTGGTCGTTCCTCTTGGTGAGGTTATGTCGCTAGGAAGGACTGTGCAGTCGAAGGTACATACCAATGCTGATCTCAGCTGGCAGCTCTACTTGAATTCTTGACGCTCCCGCAGGAAGCCACAAGTACAAGAAGCGCGCCCCTCCTTTGGTATATTCGAGTGTATCGTCCCCGACAGAGTATGTTGCATCGCGATCGACGTCGACACGCACCCCTTCGTCCGATACCCATCCCGGGATGCGCATCTTGTACAAAAATGGTTTGTCTGCGACAACAGAAATATGCACGGTATCGCTAAAAGGATATTGTGTAGAGACGGTGACATGGACGGCGTTCCCTACGGCAACATCAGCGACAATCAGCGTCACAAGAGAACACGGTACCGCCAGCAAGTATTGTATTTACACTCATCGGTCCGATGTACACTTGTGTAAGCGAAGACTCGTCCGCGCTCGTTACAAAGGCATTGGTGACGAACTTCGGCCAACCCTGCGGGAAGTTGACTGTACAACATCTGGAGTCTTCCATTCAGCCTCCAAGCTAACGGGGCAATGAAGGAAAGCGCACGGATAGTTTGGTTCGAGGCCAAAGATATTTGAATCTGGTCTAGCTCCTTCAATTAGTTATGCCATACCTAAGTATGCATCAAAGGACGTACCCATCCTCTGGAAACGGATTCCTGAAGTAGTTCGATGTCAGTATCGCAAGCAAACTAAACTAAAGATGAGCCTACGGTGTCATGTTCTTTGCGGCGACTTGATTTTGCTGCTGGAGGTACTGCCGACCCCACATGTCTGCATCCGTGTCAGTACCATGTCAATTTCCATCTATAGCTCAGAAATACCAGCTGTGATAGTCGCAGGGAGCGCGTTGTATGTGACACGCTCAACACGGTCCGCATATTTGAGGTCCCCAGAAACCTGGAAGAGGAAGGATCCCCTGCCGTCATTGTTAGAAAGTA